ATCACTATAATATAATTTACAAAACTGCACTATTCTTTCGCACTTATAAAAATAAGTCCAGTGTGATCACAACTTTTTTAAAAATACTGAAAATAATTCAAAACAATACTTCACACACACTTATCACACGTTTCTATTTCTTTTACACTAATCCCCGCAATTAATTTCCCGAGTACAGCGACTTACGCCATTTTCAAAATAAACATGTTTGTTATACCGTTAATTAGCAAAACTTCTCTCGAACAAATCTCAATAGTTCTCAACTTACTGATTGCAAATTCTTTTAAAATGAAAAGATACCGTTCAATTGTAATTAGTGTTACCATTAACTCGATTTTTTGAAAAAGTGACTTATGCCACTTTCAAAATAAACGGCTCGTTTATCATATTATACTTTACAATATAACATTGGATACAATCAATTCCACTTATTTTCTATTTTACTTGAAACGTTTGTTAGTATTTCACGAATAAATAAGTTGTAAGAAAAAAATTGTTATCCGTAGAAACATAAATATAATTTTCTCGTCCACGAAGTAAAAATCTGTTATTAGCCATCTGAGCAGCAGTGTTCCTTTAAAAAACGAACAAGTAGACCATTTTTGATTGATTTGTGCAATCTGTGAATGTAGGTTTAATAAAAGAATAAAGAGTTCTTTAATACAAGGATACCTTTGTATCGTTTTTAACCCGAAGACGTTCTCATTAATTTGATGTAGAAAGAGGTAACGACTAAGATGAAATACGACTGTGAAAGTTTTTCAATTAGCTAAAGGAGTTGCTGTGTGTATCATCGCTCTCGGCGTTATTTTCATTACAAAGCGTGTAATTTTCGAAATGAATTGTAACCGCTAGTGCCCGGTCCCCTACTGTTCAAATTCATTGGAACAGTTTCCTCGAAGTTGTTCAAGCAGGTGCAAGAAATCTGTCCAACCGGAAACATGACTCGGCCGAAGCAAAGCGTTCAATTTGCGGAGGCAGCAGTAATCTCGTAATCTTTTTCATGCAAACTGTGAGCGACAGTTTACATTAAGCACCATCTGTTGAAATGCTCCGCGAACTCGTCGGTATTATATTTTTGTGGTAGGCTCGCGCCAGTGACGGGATAAATCGGGATACATCGGTAATTGTAATCCAGTTAGCGCGGGACTCGTTGAGCTTTCACTCCGGGAAGATTTAAATCAATTTAAACGGCCAGCGTGGCCGACGACCGAGACCGATTCATTTTACAGATAAATTATGGAATCACCGTCTTGAAAATTCGGAAGGAGGCGTTTCTCGGAACGACGCGACTGTTTTTTCTTCGTTCGTTGCCCGTTCTACTCGAAATGTTTGCAAAATCGTGCTGCGAAAGTTTTGGCGAAGCTTCTATTAATTTAAGAAGATGACCTTTGCAATTGCTGATTTCTTGGTGATGCAAAATCAAATGTGGAACAAATTGCAGTTTCTGCAGAACAAAGTAACATTTTATGAAATATTTTCTACTTTTTTAACGGTAAGTATGATGACGATAAATAAAACAGCATCGTCGCGTCGCGACATGTTGTTAAGATTCGACATAGAAAATTGTATATAAAATATCTTGGAAGATATTATTTTTCGTGGTGTTGTATCCCAATATATTTTTTCTACCGAGAATGTTCTAGAGAATCGATCTACCTGCAAAAATATATAGCTCTAATTAAATAATGTGCAGTTGCACTTTGCAACTTGTGAATAAAATCATCCCAGAGGACAATAGGACCTTTTAAATAGTGCAAAATTATCCTCTACAACTTTGTTTTAAATTCACCTGGAACGGAGCCACAGCTCGGTCCAGTTTCTTGACTCACCCTTTATAGAGAAGATATTCAACTACAATTTAAATTCATTTCAGTATTTCGTTACCAAATAGAACGTTTTATATTCTTTCCAAATCTTTCCTGGACCTTGTGGATGCGATCCAATCTTTCCTGGTCTGCCGTCCATTCGAAAAAGGTACCAGCTCTATTAACCCCTTAATGCACAATTTAAAAAAAAAAAACTGACCAAAAAAAAAATCAATTTTTTTTATCTAAGAAAATACATATTTGGACCTTAATTTCAATAAATATGTAAAAAAAATGCAAAAATTACTAAAAATTCAATAAAAATAGTGGATAAATAATTATAGTGAATATTGAATCGCATTGCAGATCGAATTTTGTACCCATCGTACTGTTTTTCAATTACCAGTTACTATTTTGAAGGGGAAGGAGGAGACGAAAAAAAAAACTGAAAAATATTTAATTTTACCTAAATTTGCAATAATATAATAATAATATTTATTAGCTGAAAAATATATAATAAACTAAAACTATTC